TGTGTCTGTTTTACAACAAAAATAGAAATGTTTAATATTTGAAGAGTATAGTATGTAGATTTATTTTTAACTTAATTGGCATAGAAAAAGATACATATATCATCATCTTGACCAGGTATACATGAAAGTATAAAGGGAACAGAAAAGATTTATTACAGTGAATTTTTTATTTATTATTAAAATTAAAATTGTGAAACAAATTTGAATTTATGTTAAACGACAAACTGTATGATAAACCCATAAAAAGGAAACCAACACAAAAGCAAACCAACTGATGATTTACTGCATCAAAACTGTAAGAATTAACCGTCTAATAAAATTTTGCTTAGAAATTATTGCCTGGAAACAGACTAGTTTCTTGACATAAATCATTTTAACTGAAAAAGAAACAAAGAATCACATGCAACAAACTGACTGGAACTCTTCTCCAAGTAAAAATAAAAATACAGGTATAGGTAGTCCTCACTCAATGACCACAATTTGTAATGGAATCTCAGTCATTGAGCAAAGCAGTCATTAAGTGAAATGCCATGTGATTGCTTCATTCAATGACTGCACTTCCACTTGCAGTTATTAATCTAGGTCGTTAAGGTCTGCCTTCTGGCAGATAAAATCCATCAGTAGGCAACCCTTTGGCTGTCAAATGTTCCTGCAGCCAGCTGAAAGATTTCAGCTTCCCTCACTGCATGGGGGAGGGGGCTATGGTGCTGAAATCTTCAGTATCTTGCTCTGTTCCTGCTGCCTGTGGAAGACTTAAACTCCCCTCTGTCCCCTCTGCTTGGAACCATCTCTGCCAGTATCTGCATTGATTTTCTGGGGAAGCCAGCAGAAAAGATTGCAAATGGAGTTCCTATTTTGGGGTGCTTGGCAATTGGTCATAAATGTGAACCAGTTATAAAGTCTCCGAAATGGGATCACTTGACTAAAGGAGGGGGTGGTGAGACATTTTACAACAGGTGAAAACGTCTTATGGCTAATAAAGCACTCATTCCAAGGTTGTTGTAACTTTAAACAGTCATTAAATGACCTGCATAACTCAAGGATTACCTATACTGGTACTATGTTACCAAGTATTTTGAAAAGCCTCAATGGTTAAATATGAGTTACTTTAAAAAAATTCTGGAGAAAGAAATTTATCCAAAACTCAAAAAATAACCAACACCATTCATCCATCTTTCTATATGAAGCATTTAAAATTTAAACACATATGGACACTAATTATTTAGGCTTGCTTAGTACCTTGAAATCTGGACTCCTCCAAAAGTTCAAATACCTAAGTATTCAGTTTCATAAAAATATATGTTCACATCAGGAATTCCAAATACCCCTCAGCTCCACAAAGTGGTTTTAAATTATAAGCATAATTGTACTTGAGTATGGATACCAGTTGTGGGTTGCAAAAATCTAGACAGCTAATAAATATAGAATGGTGTACTGGTTTGCTGCCATCTAATAGTCTGATAAGAATTTTTATTTTGGTGCCTTTGAGCCAGTGCTTACTCCTAGCAACTGTCTGGACAAGTGCTTACAATTTTCTTGGCAAGATTTCAAAGTGATTTGCCACTGCTTCTTTCCTAGGGCTGAAGAGAATATGACTGGCCCAAGGTCACCCAGCTGTCTTTGGTCTAAGACAGGATTTGAATTCATTATCTCTTAGTTTTTAGCCTTGTACTTTAACCATGATACAAAACTGGCTCTGCAGAATTCACCACTGCTACTTAAAATAAAATAGCAAATTAAAAAAAGAGTCAATAATTCAATTGCAATGAAATTGAAAAGAAATATAGTACAACTTTTCTACAAATGTTGTTATTAATTCCCATCATTTTAAAGTAGAGTGTCTTATATAATTATAAACTGTCATCCACAAATTATAACAAGCCAACAGATGGCAGTAGCAGACCCTTTAATCTGAGACGACAGGAAAAGAACAGAAAATGTTTGCATATAAAGTACATGATCTATTATGTTAAGTCTCCTCACCATACTGTATCTATACCTAATATTTTTAAACCAGATTAACATTGCAAGGAATTCTATTACAACAGAGACTGAGTAATTCTGTTCACAATAAAATACAGGTACTCCTCAATTTTCGACCACAACTGAACCCAACATTGTTGTTGTTAAGTGAAATATTTGTTAAGTGAATCACTGCAGTTGAAAATTAATAACACAGTAGTTAAGTGAATCTGGCTTCCCAATTGACTTTGCTGGTCAATTAGTCACATTTTTCAGTGCTGTTGTAACTTTGAATGGTCACTAAATGTCCTGTTGTAAGTTGAGGACCACCTATAATTTCTTATGAATAAGCCTTTCCAATAGTATTAGTCAAGACCTTGCATATTAACTCTAAAGATACTTTTAAATTAATATACCATTTTGAAGATCTGATGACTCCTGCCATGGCTGCCCATTAACAGTGATATTCTCTTGTACAGCTGTTTCAAAGTTCTGTACCAAATGAACAAAAATATATACAGATATGAATATATAATGTCAGAATTCTCAAAAAGATACCTTTAAATGCCAATACTGGATCACAAAATGGACCAGCAAGAACGAATGAGATTGATAAACAGTACATTGATAAACAGCAATCTAACAAAGCACATCCATTCAGCAAAACAAGTCCACAATATTTACAAGCACAATGATGTCATGTTGACAGATAAATTACAAGATAGTTTCCAAGCTTCAGTACATTCCAACATTCCGCAACAAGGCTTCAAACACTTTTGCATGACAATACACAAAATTATGGGGAATAAATCTCATTACAGATACTAGTATTTTCATAAGAAGAAATGAATGCCAAATTCAACTCTATTAATACACTCACAAATACCAGAAAAAAACCCTCTGTTGCTAAACAGAAAACTCAAGGCAAATTAATGGATGTAATAAGATCACTGCCCTTTCTGACACAAATTGTCCAGTTCAGATTGTACTTCATATACAGAAAGATACTATTAATTTCTATCAAGAGAATAATTGCAAAGAACCTTTGACTTCTCTTGTCTGTTTTCACTATTAATTATTACCAGTTAAAAGATTTCCCACAAAAAATAAAAGGAAAACTCTGACATGTACTCTAGAGAAAGTACATCCTAACTGGTAGACCTTCTTTAGCATTCAATTGTCAGAAATTGCTTTCTGGAACTCAAAATATGGTTTTATTTTGGGGGGGGGGTGTTGCATACAAAGTTAATAATGGCAGAGGCATTATCAATTTGAAAAACAATCCTTCTCACATCTTTTATGAACTTATTAGATGACCTCAATCAAGTCAGTCTTGACTTACAGTAAGCAGAGCATACTAGTTTACATTATTTACTATCATAATCACAAAATCTAAATAAACTTACTAAGGAAAGATCTCTTATCAGGATTTCCAAGCATAACATAACAAACACATTTTGAAATTTTAGAAAAAAAAACAGTACACAAGAGCAACTTTTCCTAACAGAATGATCTGCACAGTTTTATCTATTCAGTTATTGGCTGTTTTAGTTCCAAGGCTTCATTTTAAATACTATTAATAACTTTTAAAGACATTAGTAATTAATTACCAGTCTAGCTTAGTTTGTATTGGCTTCTTCTGATAGTTTTAAAAATTAAGATCAGCATCAGAAGTGCCAACTTCCACAATTTCTGTGTTAATTGTGAAATCTCTTCAAAGATACTTAGCAATCTCTCTCTTGAATCTTTGTTATGTATTTCTTATGCTCCCATATTGCTTTTCAATTTTTTTTACAATTGATAGTTAACTGCCTAGCTTCACATAAAAGAAATCACAAATAAATAAAATGACCTGCTGTCATTCTATATTTAAAAATCAGCAACATTTATGTTGCATTTATAATTTCTCGGGTTTAAAGTGTTTAGGATCACATCACACAGTACATATCAGTGGGAGAGAAAATGTAAAGATGTTCAGGACGGTTTCTGATAGTTACGCTTATTTTAGAACTTATATGACAACTTGTGTGTGTTTCTGACCTAAAAGATACAAGAATCTGAGATATCTGTTTTCAGCAATCATTCTTTAAGAACGGTAGAAGACTTATTTGGGGCCATAGGTTATTCATCTGCCTATTAAAGGAATTTTAGGGCAAAGAGTCTATACAGATTCTCAGTCATCCAGGCCATGGTGGTCCCAAAGGTGCTTTTTCAAGAGGCAACTGGACTTTGTTTTTTCTTTGAAGACATTTCGCTTCTCATTCAAGAAGCTTCTTCAGCTCTGTTGCCTCTTGGGTGTGCAGTCCTAACTATGCAGTTCCCATTTGGTTGCTGTACCAAAACCAGAAGTACAAATGACAGCTTTAATCATTCCTCTGTAGAATTTGTATCAGCAACTTCTTGGGCAGTCTGAAGTTTCTGTGTCGACACAGCAAGAACATTCTTCGTTGTGTCTTTTTAATGATGGTTCTCATAGTAAGTGTCCATTTCAAATCCTATGAGATTATAGAACCCTGGATTATAGAAGTCCAGTTGCCTCTTGATTTAGGACAATGAATTAATCTCTATTCAAACAAACAACGCCCCGCACACAATTCAATATTTATTTAAAATCTTCATCTGATAGAAGTAATCTTAATGAAAAGCAATTCCCTCCTTAGCAGCCCAACTCTCACCCCGATCGAGCCCTCTCAGCCTGACTCCCCTCACCCAAAGCGCTTCCCCCACAGCCTGCTCCAAATTCTCGGTCTCCACAGCCTGACCGGCTCCGAGTCTGCGCACGAAAGGTCTGAAGTGATCCAGCAACTCGGCCGTCCAACGGCGCGACAGGCACTGCACTCGGGGCTCCTGGCGCGGCGCGGGAGAACAAACTGCCGCAGCCCCAGTTGGCGGCGGCGGCGGCGGCGCCTCCATCTCGGTTGTTGTTTCCCGCTCTCTTTCAAAGCCGTTCGGACTTTCCCGCCCAACCCGGAAGTAGAAACAAACGATCCTCATTTCACGCCTTGCCATCCCCGACAGTGGAATCCAGAAATAGGTCCGGGTAGAAACAGCAACTGGGACAGCTGTAGTTCTGAGTGCCAGGATGGGAGCGGTGGATTGTCACTGCCATCTCGCGGCACCCGAATTTCAAAGGGTAAGTGATTTTGGACGAAAGGAAAAAACCAAACCAAACCAAAATCCCTACTGAAAGCTGTTATTAAGTCACTCTAAACCTTTGCAAAGGAATTGCGAGCTTTCTTCATCTGAAAATATTGCTATTTTAAGGGTTAGGAAGGATTTAGGTTACTATTTGATATGGCAATGTCTGCCCGAATTTATTTATTTATTCTATTTCTATACCCGCCCATCTTAGTCACTGACTCTGGGCTGCTTACAGTTCAAAACGAAAATGATTGTTAAGTAAATCTGAAAATATATATACGGTCTTGTCAGGGGGAGAATACACCAATAATTTCCCCAAAGATTGCAAGCATTTGTGGATCCTCTTGATTATACTATGGAGGAGGCATATCTTCCTGGCTCCAATTTTACTACTTTTCTTGGCACAGTTAAGTGAATCATTGCATTTGTTAAATAGTAACATGGTTAAGTGAATCTGGATTCCCCATTGACTTTACTTTTTAAAAAGAAGAAATATTAGGCTGTGTTACTCTTTATAGATGGAAAGAAAAGCATGCTGAATCCTGGCCATGGCAAATACGCTATGCTTAAACACAGTGATCTGCCAGCATAATAACATTTTAACCTTTTTCAGGATATTGAAAGTGTATTGGAAGATGCCAAAAAGGTTTGTAATATTTTTCAATTGTTATTTTCCCTTTATCAAACTCTAGAAAGAATTATATCTGCATTTGGGTTTTGAAACCTAAGCAGATTTGAGCGTTGAATGTTACATATACTCAATTAGGTTGAAGTTCAAAATGCTGATTGGGTTTAGAGAGCCATGACATACTTGGTTGGATTTTCTGCATGGAACCTTGCATGTATGCTGCCTTGAGATATACATGAAAAAAAGGGATAATTAAAAAAAATCGTATGAACCCAGCAGAACTGGACCCTTTGGTAAACCATAGGTATGCATAATAGAATAAGCCTTAGTTTATGGCTCAGTTTATGGTACATAAGAACCCAATTTGTGAATTATTTTAATAACTTATAATTATAATTAAGACTTCTGTAGTTCAGTGTAGTTCTGTGCAATGAGCCTGTGAAAGAAGACTGAACTCCTCTCATGCAGTCATTAAAAGATGTTCAATGTGCCATAGAAATGTATTTGATTGATTCATTTATGTTTATTCATATGTGGTTTGCTCCCTCTGGTGCATACAGAATTCATATCTGAAAAAGTTGGGCTGATTTGCAAAGTAACCTGGATGGGGCACAAATCTGAGTGCTAATATAATCAATGTAAAAATGAAGCCTGACGTAAGAGTGCTTTTGTTTGTTAAAATTGTAAGATACATAGATACTGAGACAAATTGCCTCAGGATACTTTCTTAAAAGTTGTAAGTTATACTTTATATATCCCAAATGATATTGTCCAGGATGCAATAAAGTTTCCTGCCTTGGGTAGAGGGGTTGGACTAGAAGACCTCCAGGGTTCCTTCCAGCCCTATACTTCTATGATTCTATCCTGAGAACTCCCAAGTGTCAGAAGGCCTTTTTTGAAAGATGGAGTGCATAGGTTGAAACTATTGAAGCATGAGGAAAATTATCAAAATTGGATCTGGATCCCAACTTCTATGGTTTAAGGAATGTTTCTCCATCTCCTTTCCTTAATTAATTTCTTTTTAGCAGAATGAACCTGCAGGTTTTGAGACAGAATTGCCATAGAAATAATGTGAAATGCAGATCTTTCCTTTTGTAAAATTTCTGTACACAGGTTACTTTAGAGTCAAGTCATTGTACCATAATTTAACATTTAAATGTGGGAATAATATCTTTGGATAGATTTACTTTGGAAGAGTTTTGTGATTTACTGCTTTTAATTCTAATTTATTTCCTGTTTCAGTCTAGTGTTTTGGCCCTGGTAGTAGTTGCTGAACATTCTGGAGATTTCACAAAAATTATTCAGCTTTCAGAAAGGTACTAATATTTCTAGTCTGTACTGAATGGGATGAAAATAGTTACCGTTTAGGATTTAAAGAATTAACCAGTTAGTTATATCCATTTAATGGGCTTTTCGAATGAAGATCTTCATTTCCATTTTTGTCATGCCTTTTTTAGTTTCAAAATTAAATTGAGCTATGCTATTGTTCAATAAATATCTGTGTTCAGAAAAAAAGTTAAAAATATATTGAATGTTTGGAGTATTTCTTCTGGAATATTACATTTACCCACAGTATTTTACAATTAAATTTTAACAACTGGGTGTAATTTGATATAATGTGCAGAACTTCCCAAGAATTCATTTAACACTGGAGACTAGCACTCAGTTCCATTGAGGGATAAATTGTTTTATTATGGTTCAGAAGGTGAAAGACAAGCCTATAAGTGGAGGGAGTGCAACCTCTTTTTATAGATTTATGTAAATTGCAATATACATTTAATTAATACTTGTTTGGGATATGGCAATATCTGTTAATGAGATCAGAAAGTGGGACAATGAGAATTAATATGGTGGGGTTTTTTTAGTTTTATGAAAGGATCTAAGCCTGTACATGTTAACAGGTTATCTTTTTCTAGACATTATCAAATGCTTGTGCTTTCCAGCTATCTCAGTATCTGAGTCAGCATCCATTTTTTATTTTACAGCTTAGCAGGGTCTTCTGGTTGGTTAATCTGGCATCATACTTTTTCCTTCATCCATTATTCAATATATATACTGTATGAAACTTGAGATACTTTAACTCAGTGGTGTGCTGGAATTGGCTTGCAAGAGCTACCTGTTAAATTTTCTGGAATTTTGTGTATTGTTGTTTGAAAGTAGAGTTGAGCCACTATGCCTAATGTGCCGATCGTCTGTTTTTCAGCTAGCAGTGAGGCACAGCAACAACAATGGAGCTAGTAGAGTCAATTCCTAAACATTTATCAGTACAATCCTGCCTAGATTGATATTCTTTTGCACAAAATAAGTAGAGTTGCAGTTGTTTTCGGATGGTACTCAGACAAGGAATGCATTGAAATTGTAAGAATTAGGAACAGAATAATTTATTTTATTTTAGTTATTTTATCTGAAATAAGTATTGATTTATTTGACATTAATTTTAGTGATTCAGTGTAATGTGCACCTGACATGCCATGCCTTAACAAATACTTATGTCTAGGTATCCAGGATTTATTTTTCCATGCTTGGGCATCCATCCAGTTCAAAGTATTCCAGGTGGATGTGAACGCAGTGTTACTTTAAAGGTGACATAAAATAAAATTACAACTTTAAGTTCTATACATTATTAAGTCTATACTGTGTTTTGATTTGTTAGATATTTTTAAGTCTTTATAAAAACTGTAGTCAGTTCTTCAATCTTTTAAGTAAAGAATAAAGTTCAGTGAGTAAAAACTCGCCTAAGATCACAGAATAAAACCATTTGAGAATAGGGCAACTTATTAAAAATCATCAACATTTCTAAAATCAGTTTGGTTTAATTAAGTCACTATATCAGTGACATGGGTGGCATAAAAGTCTAATAAACAAAGTAAGTAAAATCTAAATACTAGACAAAAAGAAATTCCCTTATATGGATATATGAATAAGGCATGTATTCATAGCTACCATCACAAAAGACTAAATAACAGTTTTCTGGCAGTTACCCCAATTAAATCATGAGTCTCTAGTTAAACTTCCAAAACTTCAAAAGGATTTATTGGGAGTTAAAATGTCCGGCACTGCCTAGGTGTAGCCGACTCTGAGACACATAATCATTGTCATTCTCCAATGAGACACATCCATAGCCAAGAGTCATTAATCATGTTCTCCAGTTAGATAGTTGCGCAGCAGAAACTTCAGCCACCTAGTTACTATCTTTGAAAAACTATTTATGGAATGCACTTTTGATTTCCAAGCTGCCACACTGCTCTTTCAATCCCCTTTCCCCCCTCCCTTTCTGTTGACAACTCTAAAAAGACCATAGAAATATTTTATGAGTTGACACTAAACACATAAATAAGAAAATATTTACAGTAAATACATACATAAAAACATACCAGTAAAATGCCTTTTACTGACTTACTGATTACTGATCAGTTTTATGAGAGGAGTTTGCCTATTACAAGTCTTGTTGAAAATATTTATTAATGAAAGTTTAGAATTTAAAGATTAAAAGTACAGTTCTAAGACTCTTGTAGAAACAATAGGGCACCATCTTCTATCAATATTTGTATAAGGAGAACAAAGGAAGAAGCAATGTTTTTCATCAGAAGTAAAGTATATGAGTACTAAGACACATGGCTTGGTATTTTAGACAGGAGTGTCCTATAGTGTGCCAGGAAGAAATCTTTGTGAGCTTGGCTGATTTTGGTTCCATGCACAACACAAAGTTTTAATGTAGATTAAGGTATTCAATATAGCAGTGCTTTCAACCTTTAAGACTTCTGTTTTTTAACTTTGTTTTTATATTACTGATGTTTTTATTTTAAACTGCCCAGAGTCACTTACGTGAGATGGCCAGTGTAGAAATTTGATAGATAAATGAATAAATAGAAGAGAAATCAATAGAAACATGAAACTAAATGAGCAGAAGCAAATATGTACATTTATTTTAATATTCATTTCATATTGTAAAATCTTTTTGCAGGATGTAGAAGAAGCATTCCCACTCATTGAGCTGTATCAGGATCGTTTGCTGGCCATTGGGGAGGCAAGTAGAATCATCATAACATTTTTATTAGGTCTTTTTCATATATAATTTTTCCTCTGACAAAAGCAGGGTATATCATTTAGAATTAAGCTCTAAAGAGTTGAATGAAATTTGTATCTTGATAAAAGTTTTCAGGACACAATACTGCAATCCAACCTGTGGTGTTTACCCATTACACTGCTTTAGATTTAATTTTTGCAGTACATTTATCTGGAATTAAATCATACTGAATAAAATGGGCTTATACTATATGTAAGTGGACTCACACAGAACTGTACAGATAGAACGGAAGGTAATATATCAATGTACAGTATGTCATGACAAAAAACATCCCTATATATTTCCTGTGTGTATAATTGGGTGTGTTTTGGAATTTGCAATTGCAGAAATATTTATATCTGTGAAAATACATACATATTTATATATTTTGAACAGTACAAATATAGAATCATTTAAAATAAATAAAACGTATGTTACATCCCCTTTACATATCTATGTAGTTGTCATAAATGGCAGTACGTATGGATTGCACAGTATTTGCAATATATCTAGGAAATATTTTCCATGTAAGATTTTTTTTCCATGTTGGAAATTATCTTTAAACCACAAGCATGTTTTTGTTGCTTTTGCTCTCATGGAATAGTCATATTTTTTGTGGCAAGCTTCATAAACTATTTACATTCTTGAATAAATGATTAAAGATTGCAAGTGTTTAATAAATAATAATAATTTAATAGATGTAGATCCTTCTCTTTCTCCAGGAGCACAACATTTCCTTCCTTTTTTTTCTCACAATCACAACCCATCTTGGCTTTTTTTCCCAAAGATTGGTTTGGATTTTACTCCCAGGTTTGCCAGCAGTGATGAACAGAAGGAAGGGCAACGTCAAGTCTTGATGAAACAAATTCAACTGGCAAAACAACTTGATTTACCTTTGTAAGTCCTTGTTGCAAAAATACAGCTATTTTTACAATTTATAGAATTAGAGACTCTTTGTGATACTTAGTTTATTTAAATGAATTTATTTTTCTAAAAATCTGATTGCATTTTGCACAGATCCTATGGTTATTCATATACTGTAATTATAATGCAACATATTGCATTACTGTATAATAGTTATTATAGTTATTTCAAATGTTTCTAAACATTTTATTATTCTGTTTCATACCCTCCAATTTTGTATAATCGACAACCTAGCAAAACATCATATGTAGATTTTAGAAAAAAAAATGGGGTGGGAATGATGTTCCATAAGGGAAGTGCCGCAGAAGAGAAGGTGCATGCATGTTACATGGCGTTGTTTCATGGAAGGGACTCTTAAGCACACCCTTCCTTGTTACTATGAGGAGTAGTTAGAGAATTCTACATTTGACAATGAGTGAGCTGACTATGGCACCCATTTCATATGGCACCCATGTGAAATGGGTGGCTGTACAAACAAATAAGATGCTGTGATAGAGAACAGACTCATTTCCAAATGCTTTTTTAAATATTGTGATATTTATTGTAACTTTACTATAATAATTACCCTATACTTAAGTCTGAATACAAATTAACAGTAAATTAAAATATCTACCTAAACCCAAAAGCCTAGACATGCTGCAATCTGTCATATATAGCTGGTTTATCTGACCCTGAAAATCATGCTAGTTTTGCCAACATCTCATGCTGAGTTTTTGTTCTTTCTATTTATTCTAGAAATGTCCATTCCCGCTCAGCTGGAAGGCCAACGATTAACCTCTTAAAGGAACAAGGTATCATTTATTTTACTTAACGATTTAAGTTTGTTTAGCTTTCTTGTTAAAATATGTGTGCCCCTGATATGGGGTCTCATCTCCATGGGAGTCTAAGTCAACTTTTCTTCTTTAGATGTTATATCAGAAATGTGAAGATATGTAGTTGCTTATTCATCTGCTTTCACTGCAATTTTCAAAAGCATGCTTTATTATTGGAAGAAGCACAGACATTTGAAAATCTGGGGCAGTTATATTTTAGCAAGATTTGAGTATTGGCAGGAAGATCCCCAAATCTTGTGACATTTGCCACATTTTGAAATAAATGTGTTTGTTTAGGGGCTAGTTTGCCACATTTTGCAAGTGCATTTGCATTTTGCATAAATCATGTAGTATATCAGGGATGTCAAACTGGCGGCCCATGGACCAGATAAGTCACATGTAGGCCATGCTCACCCCAGCTCCGCTAAGGGGAAAAACATCATGAAACGTCACGTGACGGCAACATGATGCGGCGAGTTTGACACCTGTGTACATTATGCAGACTAAAGTGCTGGAGGGCTATAACATCACGGAGCCCAAAGTCTAAAATTTCCTAACTACTCTAATGAATATAATATTTATTCTAAAATTAAACAGCACTTCAATAGGATCATACAATATAAAGTGTTTTTTGCAAATGGATTCCACAAATTGAATGCATACTTATTTTTGCCTTTGTGTGATTTTTGCAAACAATTCCTAGACTGTTAGAAACAACCGCATTCTTGAATCACATCAACAACAGGATCGGAAGCTATGTGTCTGATTTTCTAGTTTTAGTAGCACATCCTTCTGTAAGGAATTTAACAATAATTCCTGCCTTTGGATTATTGTCAGACAAGTTAAGCAATCATGCAGAAAAATATAGTATGAATATATGAACAGGGAATACAAATAATCTCACTCTACAAAAGGGCATTAAGCTGTCTCTGTTGCATAATATGGGTTTTGATATACACCAACTTTCTTTGTGTATATTTGGCTGCTTATGCTAGGTTCTGGCATATATAATCTTTATTATTTATTTACTATATATTTATTATAATCCACTGGTAATGTGACTTCTTTCCTGTGGTATTCTCAGGTGCTGAGAAAGTGTTGCTACATGCATTTGATGGCAAACCATCGGTAGCAATGGAAGGAGTGAAGGCTGGATATTTTTTCTCTATCCCTCCTTCAATTGCAAGGAGTGAACAGGTAAGGATCAAGGAGCAAAGTCTTGAACAAAAGTTCTTCATTCATGGCATTGTGTAATACAAATCTAATTATATATAAGTATATAAGCATATTTCTAAACATACTCCAGGACAGGTAAAAAAGGTCTAAATCAATCTTGATTCCTGGCAATTACCTAAGCAAGTCCCTAGTTTTTGGCAACAGTTTTGGAAGTAACTTGCCATTTCTTTCTTCCTAGAGGTGAGAGAGAGTGACTGGGCCAAAGTATCCAGTTAGCCCCATCTCAAAGGTGGGATTAGAACTCATGGTCTGGTCTCTAGCCTGATGTCTTTTACATTTACAGTACATCAAATTAATTGTCAGTTATTAATCAACTGAAGGATTCAGTTCAGTGAAATAGTACAGGTTCTCCTGCTTCAGTGGGGGTGGACGGGTGGACTAGAAGATCTACAAGGCCCCTTCCAGCTCGTTCATTCCTTCTATTCTATTCATTGCTTAGAAAAAGAAGCAAGGTTTCTCAATGGATCTTGGAGTTTTTCAATTTTAAAAAATTTGACTATACTGAAATAGGAAATAAAAATTGTTTGGACTGTATACATATATAAAGACTAAGAATTCAGTTTCTGTCAAGATGCATATTTCAGTTGTTTATGTGGAAATTATCAACTGATTAACAGTCTTTTGTTCAAAAGTTTGCCTTTTCAATTTAAAAGCTATAGATGTTAATTCCTTTCTGTGATTTCCTTTAAGAAGCAGAAACTTGTGAAACAGCTACCTCTAGAAAGCATTTGCTTGGAAACTGACTCACCTGCCCTAGGTCCTGAGAAACAGGTGAGGAAGGACCCATCAGTGATTCTATCTTGTCAAATTCAGCAATAACACACACAGTGTAACAGTAGAATTTATTTTATCAGTTAAAGTCTGTTAAAATGACAGACTAAATCAGGGGTCGCCAACCTTTTGGACCACAGGGGCCACTAAACTTGTAATTTTAAATCCCAGGGACCACTAACCGGTTCTGTGGGCATGGCCTAATTTGTGGGTGTGGCTTGATGGTCATGTGACTGGCTGGGCATGGCTTGTATGTAAATATTATAAATATTTATGTAAATATTGAATTTTTTAATAAAAAAGAGCAACTTTTACCCAAAATCAGGCAAAGCAGGCAGGCAGATTGAGTTACTCACAGAATCACAGATTCATTCAGATCTATCTATCTGCCTTCGGCTAGCTCTGTCTATCACATAAAATCGGCTTGCAAGCAAACTCACAAAATTAACTCACAACACACCATGTATGTAAATATTGAATTTTTTATAAAAAAAGAGCAACTTTTATTTAAAATCAGGCAAAGCAGGCAGGCAGATTGAGTTGCTCACAGAATCATTCAGTGATCTATCTATCTGCCATCGGCTACCTGAGCCTGTCACATAAAATTTGTTTGCCATGAGTTTGCACTGAATAATAGAACCTTCAGTCCTAAGGGAGGTTCGGCTGTGCTTGAAAGCAGAACCCAAGATCTAAAGACTAGCTAGAAAGCAAGAAATCCAACCATTTCCTACTTCCTAGCTAATCTAAATCTCCCGGCACAGCAGAACAGCTGATGGTTGGAAAAAGGAAAAACAGCAACTTAGCAGGCAAGTTTGCCAGGTAAGGAGTAAGTGGATGGGGAGGGTTCCTGCGGGCCATGTGGGCGGCTCAGCCTTGTGTTTCTGCGCAGCCTGGATTAATTGCTTTGGGGAGGTGGTGACATTTCTCTGTGGCCCACCAAAATTTTCTCAGGGCCCACCAGTGGGCCGGGGCCCACCAGTTGGCGACCACTGGACTAAATGACTGTTAAAAAGACTCCCTAAATGTAAAGAAAGGGGGAGGTTATCTCACTGAAATAAACTGCAGATGTTGTTTGCCCAAAACTGGTGGACCTTGAGAGTGCCACCTAGTAGGCAATATGGAAATTGTTTCTAGGTTGTGATATTGTCTGCACATCTCAAATACTAAGGCTATACCTATGTTACTGTTACTTGTGTTTGTATCTGGGATACATCCAGATAATTTGTACTTGTTCGCAACTGTGAACATTGTGTTGGTGGTGCGCCTGTTGTGCTTGGCACATTTGCTCAGAAGTAGCAGATAATTGCAACTTAGTTTTTCCACCCCATGTCTTAAGGGCGGTAGGTAAGAAGGAACCAAGTCATCTGAACCAGACAAAAGAAATTGAGCCTGAGCATGTGGGGAAGCTCCCAGATATCAATAGCAATAACCAGACTTATAAATTAACAAGGCAAGAGTAGTTGGTAGTCTTTCAATCAGCAAAGCAAAACAAGCAAGGACGTGGGAGATAAAAGGAGTCCTGAAGCCTTCCTACTCTTTGAGTCATTTTTTGATCCAGACTTGGCGGCTTTTGTCTCAAGAACCAGTTGTGCCTTAGTGTTTGGTTGAAAGTGGCTTGAGGGTACAGTAGCTGTTTCTAGGGCTTTGAGTGGGTGACTGAGTGATCATGAGTCATACTTGGAAGCACATGTAACACCATGATTACTGTCTGTTGCCACCTTAGCATTTGCCAAAAAGATGACTTTGTCACTGATGGGGGTTCTTTGGACAATCTGATCTAAGTCCTTGTAGAAAGTTTCCTTTGTTCTCCTGGACTTGTGAGAGTTGGTGCATAGGTGCTGACAATGGTGGGTGATATACATGGACTTGCTGAGAGAATACCAGAATTTCATAATCTGGTCATTTATTCCAACTAGCCAGATGTTGTAGGGCAGACAATGTTTAAGGTTAGGGTTAGGATTTCTAATGTCGTCCCTCTTGCGAGGGTGGGTAATGCTATTCTAGAAGGGCTGCCCAGTCACCCTGGATGCTGCTGGACATCTCTACTGTCTTGGTTACAGAAACAAATGATCCAAGAACTGGTCCAAGAGCCATTCATGTGCAGATTTATGACAGCAACTATCAGTGATCATATCTACCTGTTCCTTCATCATGCCTGCATTACCGCAGGACTCAATGAATTAGGTTTGGACTTAGAAGATTTGCAGATGAGTTGTAAATGAAAAATAATTGCCCAATAGGAACCTGTTATATAATTTTATAAATGTTTATAAACTTTGTAATTTTATCAATTTTTTAAATAAATTTTATAATCTTATAATTGCATTTCAGGTGAGAAATGAGCCAAAGAATATCTTCATTGCTGCAGAATACATTGCTAAAATAAAAGGGATCTCAGTGGAAGATGTTTTACATGTAACAACGCAGAATTCACTGAAGGTCTTTCCTAAACTGAAAAACTTCCTCAGGATCTAGATGATGTTCTATAGTATCCGACATTAATTCAGATTATTTGAATATGTGTAATTACATAAAATGTATAATATTAAAATATCTAACAGAAGAGCATATGTGTGGCTCAGAGTTGAACTCTGGAGTCCTTGATGCTATCTTAGCTTCGTTGTTTGCTTGCAGATGTTTTATTACCCAATCAGGTAACATCATCGGTACAAGTGAGTGTGGCTTGCTCCCTGTTTATACATAGCAAGTTGCCCTGAGGGCATGATGGCTTAGCGGTTAAAGAAGCTGAGCTTATTAGCTGGAAAGCTGACCGCCTGGGTTCAAGACCCAAGAGCTGTGCGATAGGGTGAGCTCCCTTTACTTTTCCCAGCTCCCTTTTCTGTTTTCCCCAGAAAACATGCAAATGCAAGTAGAGAAATAGGTACCACTTCTGTGGAAAGGTAACAGCATTCCATGTGCCTTGGTGTATATTCATGCAGGCCACATGACCACAGAAATGTCTTCGATAACGCTGCCTCCCATGGCTAAGAACCAGAAATCAGCATCACCCCCCAAGAGCCGCAAACGACTGGACAGGGAAAACCTTTACCTTTAGATTGTCCTGCCAATGTTGTTGGGGATGTGGTTTTATCCTTGTTAGTTCCTTGATTAGGATATTGTTTTCTGCTTGTGTGCCTGGTGCTAATTCCTGCTTATCTGATTGTTGGCTGCAAGAGAGGGTGTTTTCTGCTCTTTTTTGTTTTCTCCTTAGCTTTTTATTTTGTGTGAATGTGATTTATCTCTGTGTCTTGGGATTCTTCCAGGGATTTGGGGGATCCAGTTTGGTCTAGGATGCTCAGTTTCCCACTTGAAACTATGGTTGAGTCTGTACATGTGTTGTGAATTTCAATACACATCAATATATGTTGGTATGTACAGGTGAAACTCAAAAAATTAGACTATTGTGCAAAAGTTCATTTATTTCAGTAATGCAACTTAAAAGGTGAAACTAATATATGAGATAGACTCATTACATGCAAAGCAAGATAGTTCAAGCCGTGATTTGTCATAATTGTGATGATTATGGCTTACAGCTCATGAAAAACCCCAATCCACAATCTCAGAAAATTAGAATATTACATGCAATCAATAAAACAAGGATTGTACATAGAACAATATCGGACCTCTGAAAAGTATAAGCATGCATATGTACTCAGTACTTGGTTAGGTCCCTTTTGCAACAATTACTGCCTCAATGCGACGTGGCATGGAAGCTATCAGCCTGTGGCACTGCTGAGGTGTTATGGAAGACCAGGATGCTTCAATAGTGGCCTTCAGCTCTTCTGCATTGTTCGGTCTCATGTCTCTCATCCTTCTCTTGGCAATGCCCCATAGATTCTCTATGGGGTTCAGGTCAGGGAAGTTTGCTGGCCAATCAAGCACAGTAATCCCACAATCATTGAACCAGGTTTTGGTGCTTTTGACAGTGTTGGCAGGTGCCAAGTCCTGCTAGAAAATGAACTCAGCATCCCCATACAGCTCATCTGCGGAAGGAAGCATGAAGTGCTCCAAAATCTCCTGGTAGATGGCTGCGTTGCCCTGGACTTAATGAAGCACAGTGGACCAACACCAGCAGATGACATGGCTCCCCAAATCAACACAGACTGTGGAAACTTCACACTGGACTTCAAGCATCTTGCAGTGTGTGCCTCTCCATTCTTCCTCCAGATTCTGGGTCCTTGGTTTCCAAATGAGATACAAACATTGCTCTCATCAGAAAAGAGGACTTTGGACCACTGAGCAACAGACCAGTTCTGTTTTTTGTTAGCCCAGGTAAAATGCTTCTGACGTTGTTTGTTGTTCAGGAGCAGCTTGACAAGAGGAATACGACATTTCCAGGATCCGACTGTGTGTGGTGGCTCTTGATGCACTGACTCTAGCCTCAGTCCTCTCCTTGTGAAAGTCCCCAACACTTTTGAATGGCCTTTTTCTGACAATCCTCTCCAGGCTGCAGTCATCCCTGCTGCTTGTGCACCTTTTTCTTCCACACTTTTCCCTTCCACATAACTTTCTATTAATGTGCTTTGATACAGCACTTTGGGAACATCCAACTTCGTTTGCAATTACCAATTTTGAGGCTTTCCCTCCTTATGGAGGGTGTCAATGATGGTTTTCTGAACAACTGTCAGGTCAGCAGTCTTTCCCATGTTTGTGATTCCTACTGAACCAGACTGAGAGACCATTTAAGGCTCAGGAACTGTTTGCAGGTGTTATGGCTTAATTAGTTGATTAGAGTGGGACACTTTGAGTCTAGAATGTTGAACCTTTTCACAATATTCTAATTTTCTGAGATTGTGGATTTGGGGTTTTCATGAGCTGTAAGAAATAATCATCTCAATTATGACACATCACGGCTTGAATTATCTTGCTTTGCATGTAATGAGTCTATCTCATATATTAGTTTCACCTTTTAAGTTGCATTACTGAAATAAACGAACTTTTGCACGATATTCTAATTTTTCAAGTTTCACCTGTAGAAGATGCATAATTATCAGTGAGACTTAGTAGTTCACCAGTATATATGTGGGAAAAATTGTTGATAGCCTCCCACTGCCATGTTATTAGACCCAAGAGTAGGAGATGTTGCTTTTTATTGCATGTTTTATGGAATAGCCTTCTACAGGAGCTTCAGGTTGCTCTGATTATACATTACAGTACTGCTTTTCTGAAAGTTGTCAAAATGGAGCACTTCTGAAGCACTTTTAATCAACACAGTGTCACTGTAGCTGTTAATTGTCATTTGAGTGTTCCTTCAGAGTACTCTTACATGTTCTATAAAAATCTGATAAACAACAATACTTATGCATCTGACTATATTCAATGTACAAAATATTTTAAGAAGCACTAGTGCTTAAGGGAAAACCAAACAAAACACAGTTTGTCTTTGTATGACAGACCCAGCTCAGGTGCCCTTCCTTTCATGCCCAATCATGTTTCAGAATACAGATAATCTTTGTGCCAGTCATAGTTTGAGAGATTTTGTGCTGAAATGAGGTTTTGTGACATGTTAAAAGGAGAAATGATTAAGATTGATCTGTGATGCCACAGCAGCCAAGGCTCTGAGTGGAGAGCTACATATAAACAGTACTTTGCTTTGTGATCCAATGCAGATAAAGTATGGAAACAATATCTTACATAAATAGAAACCTACCAGTTATTCAGAGAACAGCATTTTCTTTCTATAAGGAATATTGTTAGTGTTCATACACTAATTTCTAGCCAAAAGCATCAATAATGTAGAAATCTAAATATTTAGAGGCATGTATTGAACATATGTGGTTCCATGTTTTCTTGTCTCATTTTTAACAAGCCTTTATTGTAGTTTCAAAGAGCTTTTAAGGTTTTGAGGTTCAGTAAGGTTTTTGCTTATTTTGGTTGGATCTATGGACTCTCATTTTAAAAGCACAATAATAATCTGGTGGCTATTAGAAGTGAAGAATGTTTGTATTTCTCCTATTAAGATGTTCTTGGCTTAAGTATTGTGCTCTTAATCAGGGCACATGCCTTTTGTTTCTCTGCATTCCAAGAAATAATATTCATGGAGATAAAATGTTTTGAGAATGACTGCCTCACATGACATTTTCTTGAACTCAGAGCTATCTTGTTGCCAGGGATTTCTTCTTTGCCTTGCTTAAACTATGGGCCAACAATGGGGGTTATGTTTTCACAGAACCTAAACCTCCCTGGCATAATAACCATTCCCTTTCTCCAGGGAACTGTAGTTCTGAATGGAGACTACATGGAAGATAAATTTCAGCAGAACATTCGCCAAATTTGTATCTTAATGTGCAATCCTAATTGTGGCTCTAGGCTTCAGATACCACAGATGTAAATTTTGTCCCTCCATATTTTTAATCTTCATTTATCCCCAGAGATGGATCAGTATTTTAAGATCACTTTCATCTTCCGGAAGAGTGAAAGCACTTGAAGGTAAGATGTAAGAAATAATGACTGTGCCAGTATCTAAGGATTAAAAAAAAGCTAGGCTTTCAGTAACCAGTCTCAAATCATTTCATTAAGACTGATATACAAGATATAGTGGTAAGCATTTAGTGGAATTTATCTGAGAGGCTGGAAACATTGCTATCACAATATCAGAACAGTTTTTAAATAAACAGAATGAACTTTTATCTTCAAAGGGCTGTTTTTGGCTTGAAAGGAATGAGATTCCTGTCCAGAAAAGTCTTTGAACTTGTTTCAATGAAGTTCAAAAGTTTTTCTCATGGTTAAATGGGTGCATATACCTCTAAAAAAAGACAAGTGTATTCTTTACACTGAAATGTATATTATCGAATACTAGCTGTGGTCAGCAAGAACAGAGTAAGCTCAAATAATGTAGGTTTTTGAAAAAAATGACATGAGCTGGGTTGCAAACATTGGGAGAACGGAAATCAGGAAATGGTGCTTTACTCTGCCTCTCTAGCCTGTCTTGTTTTAGCCACAAGAATGGGCAAGCCTATAAGTGGAATGCAAGGTCTGAAGTTGCTCCTCACAGAAACCCTCTGAGTTTTCACACCAACCATGGACCCTACTTTGCGGTTTGAGTTAGCACCCTGATAATTTCTGCTGTCATAGATGTACCTACTGGGGATGGGGTAGGGGGAGCTTCCTGTGTGTTTATCCCCCATAACTGAGGTTTGAGACACCAGCGCTACCTTCCACCTGATGGACAAATCTGAACTTGTTGTTTAAACTGCTCCTGCCCTCTGCTTGTGGCAGCTAGACTTTAAACTAACTTAAGACAGACACAAGTCTTAGCAAGTTTGCAAACTACTCAGGACTGAAGGCTACGATGTCCCCCCATTGGACAATTTTCCTCTTTTTCTACCCCAAAACCTGTGACCTTCTTGCTGGCAGGTCTTAGTGTATATACATACTTTTGTGTGAAACACACACACGTATGCACACGCTGATCTAATGAAGTAAAATAAAATTCATATAGACTAAGTTATATACAAGCACAACAACCAGTTTCAAAATTAAAATAAAATCTTGGTAGCTATTTTGCATTCTGATGACTTTTATATCTTTCATCAGCGCTAAAAAAGCACAATACCCAAGAACTTAATGCAGCATAGAAAAGAATAAAACTTAGTAGAAATGTGATTTTTTTAAAAATGATACCACTCAGCTTCTTTTATTTTATTTTAAATGTGAATGGAAAAAATGATGTAACTATAGCCAGACTTATTTTTTAAAAAAAGTTCAGCTGTCAAAAATTATTCTCTTCAGGCATGGTAGCAATTAGTGCGGACAACCTTTAAGGAAACTTTGGAAATTTTACCATGTGAATAAGCTTTGATAGTGTAACATAATAATACATTAAACTGAGAACTAATCTGTGACTCCAATTTTTTCTGTATGTTCCAGTAACTTGGGAAAAACCAGCATTATATAATGATACTGACCAGCCTTATATGATATTATGAGGAATATTGAAAAAATACTGAAATGAACATTTATTTCTTCATACTATGTTTTATTTTGTATAATCCATGCAAATCCATTTTAAAAATTAATCATAATTGTGTAGCTAAGTTTGTTCTCAAGAACTAATATTTCTGTATGTATGTGTACATGCGTACATACACAATACAGCTGCTTTTTCAGTTAGGCAAAACGCATACAACTTCAGTACTCCAGCAGAGAAACTGCTTCTAATAAGATTTCTCATCCAAAAATTGCATTGTCTGAAAGATAAACACAAAGTGAAAAACAGAATCATCTGGCTATATAAATGTTTTCTTGCCATTAGTTAACAATGCAAAAATCTTACAGCTTGTCATGGTAGTTGAAATGTGTATAAACACGAGTTATACAAGACTTCTGAAACCATCTATGATGTCCGTTTCTTATCAGAATAATCCAATTCACTCTGCCAGGGAGTGATGTGGTATTAATGGGACAATGTCTTATTAATTACTCTTAGGCAATGAAGTATTTATACACACACACACGTTAGAGTACACACAGAGACATCGAAGATCCTTGGTGCTCTCTGAACTGAGTTGTTTTATTGCAGACTTCATTACTTAAACTAGGTAACATCATCAGTGCTAGATTACTTTGAAATATCTGCAAGAAATCACCCAGCTCAGAGAGCATCAAGGACCCTTCATTCCAACCAAGTTACAAATATTATCAATCCTTTTTTGATACACAGAGACATCATTTACCAAATATATACAGCCACCACTCTCAGAAGAATACATAGAGGCAGATCATTTGATATCTTTAAATATAAATATTCTAAAAGACATTTCATATAGTCAACACAGCTTATCTGGGTGCTGCTTAACTGTGGATGGAAGTTCCATTGCTCTCTTTTCTTGCTGTCTTTTGAAAAAAATACAAACAGTGGCAATGCACAGTTCCAATAATTATGATTGGAATATCTGCAAGAAATACCATTTGCCTTCCAGTAGGAAGTGGGACCAAAACTAGACAAAGGAATAGAAGATGATGCTAACATGATTTGAGACTTTGGAATTCAAATAGGCAAACATCTGCCACATAATTCCTCAAGATTTAATTGTTGATAAGAAAGACAAAGTTTGGATAGTGGAGGTGGCAGTGCCTGGAGACAGCAAAATAAAGAACTGGAGAAAATCACAAAATACAGTGATGGTGGCAAAAGAAAGCAAAAGTAATACCAATTGTAATAGGCATCGTGGGTACAATCCCAAAACATCTAGAGCAGGGGTCCCCAACCACCGGGCCGCGGACCGGTACCGGTCTGTGGATCATTTTGTACCGGGCCACAAAGAATGAATAATCGTGATTAAAATATATATAAAAATATGTTTTTGCTTCCAGGTGTCTTATTTTGAAAGACAACCACTTCCGCCCTCGCCTAACTTCTGCGCTTGACTCTTTGGCACGTATTTATCCTGCATCAGCAAGGCAAGCTAGCCCTTGCAAAATGAGCCAGAAACAGAGTTCACTGGAGAGTTTTTTGGGAAAGGGTACGTTACGGGTTCATCGCTTATTTATTTACTGTTATTGGAACCTTCACGCCCCTACCTGGTCCTTGAAAAAGTGTTTCTGTGTGAAACTGGTCCCTGGTACAAAAAAGGTTAGGGACCACTGATCTAGAGTACCACTTGAACACCATTGGCATTAACAAAATTGCAAAAGGCAAGTTCTTTGAAATAGCTTATATCTTGGAACAATATCTTTAATACCATCAAATATTCTAACCTAGTCTTCACCAAAATCATGAAGCAGACTCCTTGTTCTGACAAAACCCCTTTTTATTAGGCTAATGTAAATTCCTATCATTCACATCCAGCAAAGTCCAGGCAAACAGTCTTTCAAAAGTGATTTACAACCACAGAGCTTATCAGGCTTGGAGAGTTGCCAGGCCAATAGCTTCCAAACACAATGCTGTACCAGGAAATACTTGACAAGAAATCATGAACAAATTTTCACCCTAATTAAATGAACTAATTGTCTCCTGCAAACACCACTCCTGTTTTGCTCCTTTTTGTTTCCTATGGGAGGGGCCATTCACCATCCACCTGTGCCTTTACTCCTAAGTTGACCCTTCTTCCTTGTTCCCTTCTGGCAGCTCTGCACATGTGCACATCGGGAACATACTCCAGGTGTTCTTCTGCCCCACTGATCTCTGATTCCAAAGGCAGCTGATAACTATTGGACGGCCCTGGCCCCATCTCTGCCTCTGATGCAGAGCACTTGTCAGAGCTTTCCCCAGACTCCAGGACTGGCTCATGTTTCTCCCCAACCTCCTCACTGTCCGAGTCTGCCACCAGTTCCACTGGCCACTTGGTGGGTCACAACATCAAACAACACATCTGCTTATCATAGTTCCTTGGGAAGGACTTGATAGATGGATAAAAATGTCAAATCTAAATACCTGGCTATGTGCAACCAACCTTAATAATAATGCTTTTGATTTTTACCCCATTTTTTCTTTAGTTTTTTCCCTTCTGTTCTATCATGTCCAATTCTCGGAGACTGCCTGGACAAATCCTTGAAGTCTTCTTGGCAAGATTTTTCAGAAGAGGTTTGTCATTGCCTCCTTCCTAGCACTGAGAGAAATTGACTGGCCATAGGTTACCCAGTTGGCTTCATGCCCATGGTGGGATTGGAAGTCACAGTCTCCCAGTTTCTAGACTGATGCCTTAACCACTAAACTAGCTATTACAGTTTTAAAAGCATAGGCAGAATGTGTAAGCATATTCTTCTCCATTTCCTCTACGATAAGCTCTTAGAAGGAGTGGCTGTCTAAAGGTCATCTAATGAACTTCTGACTGCCAGGAGATGTGATCTTGGATTCCCAAGGTCCTACTCCAGCACTTTCATTACATTGTGTTGAACAACCCTTCAGATAAAAGAGCAAAGCCTAACTAGAGGACAACCTTTACTGAGGATTCTTGGCCATTTTATTTGTACATTTTCCAGGCTTCTATATTTTATTGAAATAGTTTTGAACAGGTATTCCTGAAAATAGGTAGGCTTCTGAATGCTCAGATGATAAGGTTAAATCAAGCCAACAAACTAAATGGATTTCTTGGCTCACAGGATGCTGATCTGAAAAGAGGGTAATAAGTTCCCATATTTTACTCTAATATTTATTTCAGGTAAAAACTCAAGTCTTTTTTTTTTAAAGAAATCCTATGCTTTCTCAAAGAGATAAAATGTAATGGATGTTGTTCATATTTTTTCAATGTCTTTCTCTGAAAATAACCAAATAGTAAAAATCATTGCAAGGCTATAAAATCACCTGTGAACAGTTTAAAGTGAAAAGCTATTTCAAGCAGCATTTCCTCTGATCATAAAAATAAAATGTAATTATGAGCCAAGTGAGATAAAATTATGGCTAGGAAAAGAAGTACTGGGTCCCTACATAGTGTTTTGAAATAAATTGAATAGGAATAACATAGTAGTTTATTCTTCTATTATATATTCAACATCAATATTTGTTTTACAAAAAAGTTGGTGATTAAGACCAAAGAATTCTCAGTAAAATGGAATGCCTGTTCGCTTCATCACAAGATACATTAATTCATATTGAGCAACCACTGGAACTGGGCTGCCAATAGATTTACATTAATAATATATTCATTTATATATTTATTAAATAAATAAATAATGAAAGAAGAGACCATGGTTCCCCCAGTATTTTGGAGCACATGCTAAAAGCAACAGAAATGATTTTGACTAATGCGTTGGCAGAATAATATTGACCCTTAAAAAACTAATTTGGCTCTTTTGTTATAATGTGTGAAAATCAGTGTAATATAATGTTTAGAGAAACCAGGTTCAAGTCCCAATTCAACCATAGTCCCCTCTGAATAATTCTGGATCAATCATTCTCTCCAATCCCAACCACACCCAAAGGTTTGTTACTATGGGGATATAATTAGGAAATAAATTTATTTAATCTGGCCTGAATAGTTACAAGACAAATAAAGTTATAGAAGCAATAGTAATATCAAAGAAACAAGAACTACAGCACCAGCAATCACATATGGCTTATAATTTACAGTAGCTAGTTAAACATAATTTTCCGGGCCTGTGATGTGGTGAGGAAGCCATTTTGATTATCTGTCCAGAAATGGCCACTTAGAGGAGGTGCCAGAGTTTTAAGGCATTCTTGAAAGATGAGGGATTGGGATCATGTGGACCTTAGGAGGTAACCAGCAGCATGATAAAGAAGGGTGCCTGTCAGATACTATTAAGATGACACTGATATAGGGAGACCTCTATGTATCATATATTTCTATATTCAAATTTATTTATTAAATAATATATAGTTTTCTACCCAGAGAACATGTTTTCAGACACATTTGTTGGGCCAATGCAGGTAAATAGTCAAGAATGCTAGGAGAATTGTTTATTGACCATTTTAACAAAACCATTTTTGTTGCAAGGACTCCAAGGAAATAGCTGGAGAACATAATTTGTCCTTATTGTCTCCTTTCAACCAGAGAAACAATAGAAACAATGTATGCTACAAGCATTTAGGAAGGAAGCTTTTAATCATGCAGCCAATTTGGAATTTATTTACAGAACAGCATTAGGTTTAATGTCATCTTTAATCTCCCGGTATTCTCACCATTACATAATTTAAAATGCTTTCTGATTGTTTTTGGAAGGAAAAGGATGTCTACACCTACAGAGGTTAGCCTTTCAGGGAAAGTATGTGACGTTCAGAAAATGCTTTTCAGACAGCTGCCTCTCTAGATACTTACCATATACCTGGGTTTAATTGTATATACTGTACATATAGGTAATCCTTGCTTAGCAACAGTTCAAAGTTACATTTGGAAAAAGGGTTCTTCAACCAATCCTCACATTTATGGCCATCACAATGTCCCCATGGTTACATAAGTGACATCTGTGTGCTTCATAACCAGCTTCCAAACAAGCAGAGTAAATGTCTATGGAGATTCCCAGTCATCCAAATCATGGTTCTCTCAAAGGTGCTTTTTTTCCCAAGAGGCAACTGGACTTTCTGTTTTTTTCTTTGAAGATATTTTACTTCTTGTTATGTCTTTGGGACTGGTTGGAGTCCCCAACCAGGTCCGCTGTTGAGCGGGAGCACCAGCCGCTCCCATTGGCTGGCACCGTTTGACAGCCGGCTATAAAAGGCGGCTGTCGAGCAGTGCCAGCCCCGTTGCCCCCAGCTAGCCTGCCTAGTTAGAAGGCAGACGCGGCAACCCTTTATTCATTGCAATAAAGCCTTTAACGTTTCACGCTGGTTCAGCCTCGTTCCTCCGCCGCTCTACAACACTTCTCATTCAAAAAGTTTCTGAAGCAGCTTCTTGGATGAGAAGTGAAATGTCTTCAAAGAAAAAACCAGAGAGTCAGTTGCCTCTTGAAAAAAAAAAAAAAAAGCACCTTCGGGACAGAGTAAATAGAGAAAACAGCAGTAAAATTCCAAGTTGTGGTCATGTAATATCTTACTTAATGTTAATGACCCATGATTTGCTTAACAACAAAAGCAGAAGTGATGCAATCATATACATATATAGTGTACACACACACCCAGTACACCAAAATATCTGGACCAATAAAATTTTAGTTTGCAGCAATAGGGTAATGGACCCACTACAACTGAATTCCTCCTCTTAATTTAAAGAAGAAATCACAGATGTGTGAAGTTCAATATTTATTTGAAGTGCAATATGTGCAAACTTACTTTTTTCAGGAAAATGCCGTTTTTCTTTATTAGGAGGAGTTATTTTTATCCAGGATGTCCTGCCGCTGTCATACTCCTGTTTTTCTTCTTTGTAGTTCTCTAGTGAAGCCCGATTACTTTGAGGATAATGTTTTTTCTGGGGCCTGAGCCAATACATTTCACTCTTTCCTTCTAGCAAACATCTCGATTCCCTCATCTTATTATATTCAAGCAAGCGCTTTTTCACATCTTCAGCCATGATAGTGAAATGTAGTTGTTACCGTAAGACAAATTCCTGTGTTTTAAAATAACAATGCATATAATACAAAATACTCAGACCTCACTTGCTTAATACTTTTTATTACTGAAAACAGGCAAAACTGATTTGCCTGGCCTTAACAGAGATGAAATCTGATATACACTTGCTAGAAAAGATGATGCATCTGATCTCAAGAGAAAAATATTCTTTTCAAATGTGGATAATTCATGCACTAATCGTCCTGGAATCCATTCCTAAAAACAGCTAGTGTACAGGTAAAACTCAAAAAATTAGAATATTGCGCAAAAGTTAATTTATTTCAGAAATACAACTTAAAGGGTCAAACTAATATATGAGATAGACTCATTACATGCAAAGCAAGATAGTTCAAGCTGTGATTTGTCATAATTGTGATGATTATGGCTTACAACTCATGAAAACCCCAAATCCACACTCAGAAAATTAAAATATTACATGCAATCAATAAAACAAAGATTGTACATAGAACAATATCGGACCTCTGAAAAGTATAAGCATGCATATGTACTCAGTACTTGGTTTGGGCCCCTTTTGTAGCAATTACTGCCTCAATGTGGCGTGGCATGGAAGCTATCAGCCTGTGGCACTGCTGAGGTGTTATGAAAGACCAGGATGCTTCAATAGTGGCCTTCAGCTCTTCTGCATTGTTCGGTCTCATGTCTCTCATCTTTCTCTTGGCAATGCCCCATAGATTCTCTATGGGGTTCAGGTCAGGCGAGTTTGCTGGCCAATCAAGCACAGTAATCCCACGGTCATTGAGCCAGGTTTTGGTGCTTTGGGCAGTGTGGGCAGGTGCCAAGTCCTGCTAGAAAATGAACTCAGCATCCCCATACAGCTCGTCTGCGGAAGGAAGCATGAAGTGCTCCAAAATCTCCTGGTAGAGGGCTGCGTTGAACCTAGACTTAATGAAGCACAGTGGACCAACACCAGCAGATGGCATGGCTCCCCAAATCAACAGACTGTAGAAACTGCACACTGGACTTCAAACATCTTGCAGTGTGTGTCTCTCCATTCTTCCTCCACACTCTGGGTCCTTGGTTTCCAAATGAGATGCAAAAGTTGCTCTCATCAGAAAAGAGGACTTTGGACTACTGAGTAAAAGACCAGTTCTGTTTTTCTTTAGCCCAGGTAAGATGCTTCTGACATTGTTCAGGAGCGGCTTCACAAGAGGAATACAACATTTGAAGCCCATGTCCAGGATCCGTCTGTGTGTGTGGTGGCTCTTGATGCACTGACTCCAGCCTCAGTCCATTCCTTGTGAAAGTCCCCAACACTTTTGAATGGCCTTTTCCTGACAATCCTCTCCAGGCTGCGGTCATCCCTGCTGCTTGTACACCTTTTTTTCCCCATACTTTTCCCTTCCACATAACTTTCTATTAATGTGCTTTGATACAGCACTTTGGGAACATCCAACTTCGTTTGCAATTACCAATTTTGAGGCTTTCCCTCCTTATGGAGGGTGTCAATGATGGTTTTCTGCACAACTGTCAGGTCAGCAGTCTTTCCCATGATTGTGATTCCTACTGAACCAGACTGAGGGACCATTTAAACACTCAGGAACCCTTTGCAGGTGTTTGGCTTAATTATCTGATTAGAGTGGGACACTTTGAGCCTAGAATGTTGAACCTTTTCACAATATTCTAATTTTCTGAGATTGTGGATTTGGGGTTTTCATGAGCTGTAAGCCATAATCATCTTAATTATGACACATCAGGGCTTAAACTATCTTGCTTTGCATGTAATGAGTCTATCTCATATATTAGGTTCACCTTTTAGGTTGCATTACTGAAATAAATTAACTTTTGCACGATATTCTAATTTTTCGAGTTTCACCTGTACAACAATGGCCCTGCTGGATGAGGCCAAAGTTGATATTAGTCCTGCACTATTTTTCATAATAATAAACCAGATGCCTCTGAAGTGGTAAGAGATATAATCATCTCCCACCACCATCACCTCCAACTGGTCTTGGATTTTTCAAACCCAACAGCCTTTGTTAGATCTGTTCTCCATGTACAGAAATTAATCAATTTGCTGTTAAAGCCATCCAATGTAACAGACTACCAGGCTGCTAATTATTTCCTCAATTCATTTTGGGAAAAAAGCACTCTTTTAAAGACTGTTTTGAATCTCTCCCTAGTCAGCTTCATTGGATGATCTACCATCATTTTGTGAGGGAGGAACAAAATTCTCTGTTCATTTTATGTGTGGCTTTATTCCTCTCAAGAACTTTCCACCTCAGTGCCTGTTTTCTAAGTGAAGATGTCCCAAAGTCTTTCTTGCAGGGAAGATATTCAAGTGTTCCAGCTGGACAGGTACTGGTTTATCAAATATATATGGCCACCTATCTCAGGAATGTGATTTTACATGGTGTACAAAAAACAAATGAAACCCCAAACTTTCTTCAAAGACCAATAAAAACAAATTAGATATAAATAGAAACAAGATCAGTAGTTCTAATTCCCAAGATCTAGAAGATCCAACTGAATAGTAGAAGTTTGGCTCTGGAGAAGGCTGCCATAAAAATATTGCTGGATAGGACAATGCAAAACCCCATTCCATCAAAGATGCTGCAGTAGTCCTCTTAATTCAGCTTTTGAAATTCTCTGGCCAGCCAATTCATTTGATCAGAATTGGTCTGTATTTCCTCTGCCCTATTTATTTTTGAGCACTTTTTCCAATTCCATGTACATGTAGTCAGTAAGGGCTCTTTGGAATTCTTTAAGGTAGAATGAATCATATAGTTCATTTGCATAGTTTTAAAATCCATATATCACTCTTTCATCCCTTGCCCCATTCTGTGATTCTATTTCCTTCATGTGAGTATCCTGATGGCCCTTCAAATCTCTCCTTCCTTCTGGATAGTCTGAAGTGATTTCCCATGTTAAGATTTTTTTTCCTTCCTTTTGTGTTCAGTTTTTCCTACATAGTAGATTCTTATTTACATGCCCTGTTCATTAGACAGATTTACAATGCTAGGAATAGTAAGTACAATGGTAGCTCTGAAGAATATTAGCCAAAAAGTTCATGTTCCAGTTGGTATTTCTAGCTACTTGTAAAATCTCTCCAGAGTTTAGGGTTATTATCTGAGAGTGATAAATCCTGTAATGTTCTAAAAGTTTCTTTTTAGAGAATGTTAGTAATTTACGGGGCATGTATCCTGTCTAGAAAATATTCTGAAAGATGTAAACTACCTCTTTCCTGTCTTGTCATATTTACACAGATGCTTTTTCTTTCTTTCTTTAACTTTTTCTTTGAAAATTATTGAAAAAATAGAGTAATCTGATCTGGAGTATATATTATATAGACCACTGTTTTTTTTTCTAGAGATATTGACACATGAGATTATGAAGATTATAAGACTCTTGCTTGAAAATGCAGATCTTGACCTTTTTCCTGGTCAAGTAATAAACATGATTTTCCCCTCTTACAAAAAGGTAATTCACACCACTGTAACTTCCCACATAACCAAATTATAATAAAAGCTGTTTAATATTCTTTCTTATGCCAACATACTGAAAGATTATAGGGGAATGATAGAACATTAACTTAAAATGTAATTGAGTATAATATAAAATTCAGAGAGGCATTTCTAATACAATGGGTGCAAACCCCTCATCTTCAACCTCAGAAGTTGTGACACACCATTTTAGTTTAATAGTTTTAAAAGATTTGTAGAATTTTTAAGCTCCTCTTTGGCATCTGAGGTTGCCATCTTTAGAACTATACTGTAGGCTATTATTTTTCAAAAGCACAGAGAACTTTGAAACACATGGCTTCTGCCCAGACATGCTAGATGTCACTAAGACTCCATTAGGGATGGAAGTATTTTCAGATTCGCCAGATTCTTTTAACTTCACAATAAAGGTGTAACTAGTACACCTGGTTGTGCTTAGTTTGGATACCTAGCAAGGCTAACATCAATTTTGCAAATCTTGAAGTACCTCTTCCCTTTCATTCTCCAGAAAACTAGGAACGTTTTCATCACCCCTCCTCCTTCGGACTCAAGTTTTGTTAACGAATTATTGTTGGGGGCTCTTCCTCCTGGTCTCTCAAGTTCATTATCATATACCATTGTTGCTTATGGTTTTATGGGAAACACCATCACAGTGATTAAAACTACTGATAACTTCAATTGTCAGAAGCACTATAATTACTGGTGTTTCGCCTAGCAACTCATACTAGCACCAAGACAAATAGCCATTAATAGCCCCATCCTTCATTATATGAATCTGTCTTTTTAAATCTATAATGTCCATTATATACTTGGTAGCACTGCATTTAATTGTTTAACCATTTATTTGCATTATTTAAAGTGTTAAAACTGCTGAAGAACTTTTTATTAGTCTGGATTACTGGAGCTCAAGCCACTAATTATTATGCATTGGCTGAGTTGGCTTCCACTATTTGTATAGTTCTATCCATTGAAATAACTTTTTTTTAACTTTCAGATTTTTGTTTAACAAAAGAGGAAGTTTGCGTAGAAATCTTTGAGGAGAGGCTTCATTAGCCTTTTGAAATCCAAATAAACATTGATTCCTTGATCTTTCTAATCCACATGCTCACTGACACGTACCTATGCTTTGCAGAACTGCATTTTTCGCTGAAATTAAGTTCCCAAGTTTTAATAGCTGTTGAGAAACGGTCACTCTTAACTAAGAATCTTAGAAGGTTCCAGAAATGCTTGGCAACCAGCAATTCAAATTGTGGCAAAACCAGTACACAGACATCTATTTTAATCAATTGTTGGTAAGTTGAATTATATGTTGCACAATAAAGCAAAGGACCTATGTTATCACAAGGCACAAAGACAAGAAACTTCAGCAGACAAATGAAATTTAAAAAAATCAGGGAGATCATTTGCAACTAGCCAAGAAATGAATATGCCTTGGCAATCTCTTTGTTGAACCAGGTCCCATGATATTGCCTTTAACTCATTCTTAGCTCATGGCTGAAAAAAACTTTCCAGTTGTTCTG